GAGGGAAGATATAAAAATTAAGTCTTTAAAATCATTTTTATAGAATCTAGAACCACAAACATTAAAATGCATCAATCATAATTGTATGATTATTGCATGACTACTACAGGGTGGAGTTATGGTTGTTTGGCTACTTTTACATGTTTAGATTTTTTTTTTAATTCAACCCTATATCTGTATTTCCTGGGTTTGCAGAGTTTGTTTTGGAGAGAATCACAACATCCTTGTCACTTCTTTTAACATTTAAATTGTGGCGTGAGAGGAAGTCTTGTAATGCTGGTCTGAGCTGAAGAGCAGAACACAAGATTGGGTATGTCTACACTGCAATTAAACAGCCCCTTACCCTGAGCCCTGCCAGCCCGTGTCAGCTGACACAGGCCAGCCGTTGGTGTCTAATTGCAGTGTAGACATACCCTCTATGCTATGGTCAATCAGGAGTGAGCACTGCAGAGCAGTTATGATCAGACGATTGAATAAGTTCTTTCCTCCCAGTTGTATTTCTCTTAAATTACTGATTCACTGTTTCCATCGCTGCATCATGCTGTTCTCATTCAATGGAAACAGTGTGAAACTTTGGTTTTGTATTTAAGAGACTAGCTAGTACTGTTATAATAAAAAGTGCCAGAGTTCAGCTCCAGTGTTCTTTGACCACCAGGAGGAGAAGGAGATTAGTCTGCTGCCTTGGCTGGATGTTGCACCTCTAATGATCACAGCAGGATTTGCAACACTAGAAGTGGTTAGGTGGGGTTGGGGTAATATTGAGCTATGATACTCCCCGCTCCTCTGTAAAGCACTTTGAAATGCAGGGTTACAAAGCAGAAAAAGTAAATATTGTAATTAGGATTACGTGTGCACATGAGCAATCCCCTGCTTGAAACCAAGATAAGCAGCATTGGTGCAAATCACAACTTATAGCAGCTTTGCCTGAGAGTACAGACCAGTGCAACTATACTGTTATCTGGCCACCAGCAGCAGTAATTGCAGGCAAATCTACAAGGCCTAAGAGTCTTGCATTTATTTGTTGTTTTTTACTCCTTGCCTGTATCACATGGTGCCAATTAACACTGACAAACTCTTTGTCTCTGTTAAAATCTTCATTTATATATTTTGCCTATATTCGCCTAGATGTCTTAATGTCTAACTGCATTTGTGTATTTACTTTGTTAGTATCTGTTATTGTATTTGAATTTTATAGGATATCTTTCATGATCCTTACTGAGCCCTTTTGATTCCTCACTTTAAAATTTCTCTTTAAAATTTCAGAGAAGCTAAATTATTTCTTCACAACTTCACCAAAGAAGCTACTGGAGACAGAACTCTCTCCAATATCCTTTCTTCTGGTAATACATACTGATGTGTTAAAAGAGGAGGTGCTGCAACAAATAGCTATATTAAAGAGCTGGAAGTCCCTGCTACTATAAAGCACACTCATTAGGCCCAGGGCTAGCTCTAGGCACCAGCGCTCCAAGCATGTGCTTGGGGCGGCACTTTCCAAGGGGCTTTCCGGCCCCTTTTTTTTTTTTTTGCTTGGGGCGGCAAAAAGCCGGGAGCCGGCCTGGCCACAGCCCTGCCACTGGAGAGCCAGAGCATCGTCCCCTGGAGCCGAGCCCGGGCTGTGGCGGCAAGAGGGGCTCCCGGAGTGTGTGAGGAGCCGGGGAGGGAGGGAAGC